ACAAAATTTTCTTTGATAAATTTCTATACAATAATTAACTGTCAAAACTTGCCACAAACTAAGAATTTCTCAGGGTTCTCAAGCATTACCAAACTGTGCAGAAAACATGTTAAATATATTTCCATTTTTATCAGAAAATAATCAATTTTTAAATGACAAATTTCAGAAGACAATATTAAGTTCTTTATTGGCGTGATAATGCTAAACCGTCAATAAAATATAGACACACAATTCAGTAGTATTAACCACAAGTATGCCGCGCAACATCTCATTAAACCGCAATACGCCTTTTTTCCCAACAAAACTATGCACGCTCGTGCGTTCTTTTCATCACGATAATCCACTCAAAACAGTTTAACAAAGTGCATAAACTCTGTACAACTGGATGAAACTGTTTTGACAACCCTTGCATAGTTAAGGAATTCTTCTTTTGAATTTGCGTTCGGAGTGCTTAAATACTTCAATTTAAAAAAAATGATATGAAAAAAGCGTTACAAAACGTGCCATTGTTAAGACTACATACATATATATGTTTTTTTTTATTCTTATCTTTAATATTAAAAAAAAATAAGACTTCCTTTACAGAGGTCCTCAAACAGTGTTTTTTCACGAGACCATGTACAAATAATAATATAAAACCTATAATGAACTTATATATGGATATCATAATAGATCTAATTAGAAACAAGTATTTTAAAGGAGATATAAAAACAATCCCCCAAAGCATTTATTATGCGGCAAGAGCATGTGTTTTTCTTTCGTTAAAAAAAGTATTAAGACCTCGCTATTCGGGTTAACCTACGGAAGTCTTATGTCGCCATTTAAACTTATCATAGACCGAGATCATATCAGGTTTCCTAGATGTTTTATATCTCATTTAAGTGAAATAGATCGGCGATATAATCACGGGGCCTTAACATTCATTTTCATCTTAAACGCTCTCTGTCAATTTTGATTTTGGGCTAACAAAATTAAGATACGATCTGATATCATTTATGTATCACCTTCACGCAGCGAGACTCTATTTAAACAAATTACAAGCCATACGAACGCTGTCTGATTTCTTTTTAAACATCATTATCATAGTTTGGAAGGGTTATTTTTACTTAAGAAAGAAAAAAGATTCATGTAATAAAAATTATAATCAGCGAATCTGTTTGGATAATTTAATTTAGATTTGTTAGATATTTCTGCAGCGTAATATTAAAATAGATCTAGTGGTTCTATAAATATCGTTATGACCACATTATTGCCAGGTATTTTAATTGTAAAAATTTCTTTCAGTCAAGAAGTTATAGAACTTTGAGTACACATTGTGGCGTTATCACAGAATCATTATGTACTTTTTGCCTTCTTGTCAGTGTTTAGGACTCATCTTCTTAATTGTATCAAATAAAACAAATTACCTTTTTAAAAACATGTCAATCTTAGTACTGTTCCTACTTTTCAGTTCTGTGTTGTTCCTTTTCGTGCTGTACAGCGCAGTACCGTGCATTGCAGTGTTCTGTCGCAGGTCGTGTCGTTCTATAAGTAAAATTTGTATAAAAATACATCAGAATTTCGTCCGAATGAAATTTTTGAAAATAAGTTTCTAATAAATATTTTAATTTGTCAACACTGTACAATGTGTTAGAAATTTAACACTCTGATACGTTATCGTAAATGATCTATACATTTTCTTATCACGCAATTGGCCCGGATTACTCGATGTAGTTCGAATCCATTACGGTTGATTTACGCGGGAATTTCTAGGAAACGGTGAATTGAGGAGCCCGTAAACATAAAGAAGATAGGTTGCATATAAGAAGCATTTCTTAAAGACAAAACTAATTACGGACACAAACACCTATGCCCCCTTTTACATGAAAGAATAACTAATGATCGCGTTCTCAGATATATCGTCAAACATTGCTTATCAAATATCTCAACCAAAGAATCTTTGCCTTGTAGATCGAAATCTCCAAAACATCAAGTGTTCAATACAAGTACATTACCTGATGATTCTAAAATAGACCAAAAAACCGGCTCTGGCGTTCCTTAAGTAGTACTTTTATATGTGCTTTTATCTTCAATACATAAGATGCATGTCTACTGGTAGGTAATTAAAGCCTCGATTTGAGATTATTGTCAGAGATAAGAGAACAATGTTTTAACTGTTAAAACATATGTTATAAGTGTAATGAATCTATCATTAGCTGAAATGAAATGGTGTGTTAATTTCCCGCCAAGTGACATAGGTCAATGAGTACGATTTGTTCTGGGATGAATGATAGACACGTGATAGATCAGTTAGGTAAGGCGTCTGAAAATGTGATGTCAGATTTCGAAAATACATTACCAGCTCTTTAAAATCCACAAACGCACTTATTCAAAGCATAATACTGATATGTCATATGCTATCTGATAAATCTATTTCGTTCTGCTGGGTTCGAAGTCATATTTATTTACAGTTAATGAGATGGCCGACGCTGTTGTTGTGAACTCTAGTTAAATATTAAAATCCTCATATTGATAATAAATCTTCTATTATAAATGCATATATTTTCAATGGCATTAACAATATGGCCATCTTGAAGGAACAATGCGCCCATTCAATAATTTAAAGTATATGTGTACAATGGATGTGTGGCGTCGAGAAGAAGTTGTTCTTCTATACTTTTGAATTGGCATATTAAAATCCACTTAAATGAAAAAAACTAACCAGAATGCTTCATTCTTTCCTTTCTATGTTAATTAGATTGTTTTGATTTTGTACAACAACAGTTCTTACAGTTAAAGCGGAACATTTATTAGGACTTTTAAAGACAACTTCTGTTGAGGCGATTTTATCACTTCTTTTATACTTGGATCGCCGTAAAATCTAAATACCGATATATATCTTTTGGAATGGAACATTTGATATGCATAATGGCTTATTGACTTTTTGTTGTCCACTTATCCAACTAGGCTAAATCAATTATTATACGGTTATGGAACGGGTTATTTGGTGACATCTGTACAACGCGTACTGATTTAGTTGGATTGGGGCGTGTTAAGAATTGAATTATTTTCTAAATAAATATCTAAGAAAGATATAACATAGAATTATTTGCAAAACTTCTAACGGAGAAATGAAATATTGCACGGGCTGGAATGATAGGAGTCTATGCCAATTAAACAAAACATCTTCAAGGGAAATCAACAGACGAATAGAAAATGTCAGTCACTCTATATTGCGCTAACTTCAAAGTGAAATTAACTGTATTTGTACAAAAATTGTTTATTTATGATTAATTTAAGAAAAATTAACAAAAAACTACATTCATTAATTCTAACTATCTGTTACTTTATGTAATGTTATTCTCATCAATTTTCTTTTCAAACAGACGCTTGTTAAATTTTAAGAAAAACTGTTTTTTAATGTGGGTGGTTGATTCATTTAATAAACGTGCAAAGCAAATTCTTTGAAACTTATTTCAAGTCTGTGTTTGCGTTTATGACTTTAAAGTCACCGTTTGGTAAACTCGTTTGTATCAATTTAGACTCTCATGCATTCACTTGAGAGGCATAATAATACACAATGCAAACTTTTCATTTCGGACGTAAATGGTAAAAAAAGAAATATTACAACAATGCTTTAAGTAGTACGCAGATACCCTTAAGAACTGTATAGTACGTAACTACCCTTTGAAATCTTTACAAACGTCCATGACAGTGACGATGCAATTAGAATAATGGCAGAATGTATAGAGTTTTTTGTTATTCATGTAGTGTGGTAAAACCTGCTGATCATCTCACATAATACAAGTTAATATCTCTCTTTTAGACCTTGATTTACCTCACAACAGACAATAATAACTGTACATACCATTCTATTAAAATCACATACTTGTTTTTTACGTAACTGTGTGCTTTGAGCAAATAAAGTAGACCTCGACACAATAAGAATACTGTAGAAAATAAGTACCGAAAAAAACATAAGTTTATCTTTGTATACTGAAAATTAACGAAAGAATGTCAAAATTCAAATAACATAATTTGCAGTTTGTAAGAATGGTTTTCAAACGTAATTGAAAGGGGGTACATTAGATTTAAAAGGGCGTGTGTGAATCAGAAGTAAGTTTGTACAAATACGCGGTTCTTTACGAATCAAGGCACAATTTATCTAAACGCTGCACCGAACAGCCCGTAATAGAGGCAATGTTCATATGATTACGAGCTTTTAGATCGTTTCACAGAAACGGTTGATATAAAGGCGTAACTGGAACAATTGTATTTGAACTGCGTCTAAAAGAGTCACATTTCCTTTTAGTTTTTATTTACAAAACAAATACATCTGCAAAAATATGTCCTAGATTGATGTAAACAGGCGTTCACAATTGAATAGAGGGATATTTTAAGAAATATGAAGACTATAGTGTGGTATTTTAATTGTACATGTACTTGTATTGACCAAACATTAGCTTGCAGAGCGGCACTTTAAAAGCTCGGAACGATGTCATCCTTACTGAAAAGAAAACTTAATTCTTAAGCACATGTAGCTTCATCCGTTTGATTTATATAGATGAGTACATGTTTTTCTAACTCTACATAAAAACAGAAAATGTCATGCCAGGTTCTGTACTAAAAATCCCAACATCAATGTTAAACTAAAACGTCTTGTTGACGAAACTCCCTTGCCACTTGGCTAAGGTCTATTTAAGTTGAATTCCTTACCCCTCGACAATTTGGACTCTTAGCAAGCAAGTATAACAAATAAGGGAGCTAACATTCTAGAACGAAAGTAAGTGATTTTCCTTTGGAGTCCGCTTGTGCATTAAAAGAAAGCAATGACCAGATTCTGAAGTTTGTCTTCGGTTTTACAACTGAAAAATCTTCATATCGTTATAACAGTATTGGCGTGACCTTATCATTAGCATAATACCCACTAATGAAAACGACAAAGGGAACAAAGACATAAGAAAATGTTAACATAATTGAATCAAAACCCTGTAGCTATTTTGTCTCCCTTTCTATTTCAGTTGTTGTGAAGAACACAGACACCCACAAGATCCAGGATAAAATACTCGGTATCATGCTCGTGGCTGTACCGGAAGGTGATGTAGAGGAGACGAAATCTGCCGGCAAATTTTTCGTAAGTACAGATAAATACATGAAGATAGATACAAACAATGACTATCACTGTCTAACAACTAGCAATACTTTCAAATGATTTATGTTTTTCCTTACTTAAAAAAAATAGTTGGTCCTGCACCATGCCCGATATAATGTGCAAAAAGTCTTTAAAGTTGTCTGAAAACTAGTAATACATTCAAATGATATATGTTCTGGCTTGATTGTAGAAAATCGGTGGTCCTGCAGCATACCCTAAATAACGCCAAAAAGGCTTTTGGGCACAAGCCGCAACAATCGCCATTTATGACAAATTTCAACATGAACAACAATCATAAGTTAGTTAGTGATGTTTGGAGAGTCATTGATGTTAAGGACCATACTGGCTCTGAGTCTTTAATTCCATCACACCTAACTCTGCTTCGTTTCTAATACAGATTGAACATTTGAAATGTACGTTCTATATCGTTTACAGCTCAGAGATGCGTTTATTTAAATTCGTTATTCTTAATGTTTTATTGACAATGAAGAAATAGATCTCTGGCTAGAAGCGCGTCCCAACAGCATATGGCGGTAGAGCATAAACGATTTATTAAATCGGAACTATGTTAAACAATTAATATATGCATTCCTTAAAACACTGGCTGTATATATAGCACGTGCAGGTTCGACCACCTGCAAACATTTGCCACCTTTTTATGCATTACATCCTTGAACAGCCACTTGAACGCTAAGACCCGTAACATGTTAACAATATGTTAAATAACAAAAAATATCTCAACATAAACATGATATGAGTTACATTTACAATCAATCAGTCATTCTAAACATCTAAAATATTGTAAAAAAAACATCGTTTCTATTACATCATAAATTACTGAGCAAATATCAAAATGTTGTTGAATTAAAGATTAAACATTGAATCGTCTATGTAAATAATTGTAAATAACTTCACAGTAGACATTTATGTGAAAGATTTAAAATTTATAACCGCAACAATTTACTTTAACGTGCTCATTATGCATGCGCATAATTTATTCCTAACAAACGAACCTTTTTTATACTTTTACATTCGGAAACAATTTAACATTTCGATACATTTAGACGCTTTATTTCACATAGTTTGAAATAGAAATGTTAAAATCGTTAACTGAAATATATTTAAATCTATGGTCTCTTAAATAAGTAAAATGGAAAAAAACTCGTATCTTCGCCTTAAAGTTCATATAAAAACATGTTGCGGATATTGAAGTTACTTGGCAGAGCTATAAGACTGTCGACTTCATAGCAATTGAGTTTTTGTCAAACTGGTAAATATTGACCTTTTTGAACATGAGGAAGCTAATTTGTTAGGGAGAACGATGATTGTATGATCTTCCACAAATCGATAGTGGTGTAATATAATGTCACATGGTATTATCACGTTTCGGTCAGCTGGCAAATACCAAAGCACCCTTACGCGAATACCGGGTACCGGGTTTTAGTTATTCCAATCTGCATTGATTACCGCCCTTGCTCAGACGTTTTAGGCGCTTATTAAAAACTGATTGATTAATAATAACATAAATATCAAAACCAAATGAGGGTGATAGAACGAAATGTTTACCCTTGATAAGATAATCACTTGTCTTGGATGAAAGTTCTGTACTGTCACTCCAAGAGGAATGCTTTCTTGCATATCAGACTGGCGTTTCCGTTAGTTTTACCCATGCCGGAAATTTCATCTGGCATGGGGGGTTCCAGATGAGTCGCGTGCTGTACAATGGCACGATAAAGATGACCTCATTTTACCGTTATGAATGATTTTGTAATTCATACGCTGTTGAATGAAAGTAGTTACGGTTGTAATGATATAAATTTTCATTGAAAATAATGATAAAGAATTTAAAATATAATGGAATATGGTAGAATATGCAAGAAAAAATATCTGACATATGTTTGCGGTTCGGATCGGAATATCCATCCCTCGGTCACCCGCCCATGGGCGGTAACTCGGCAAGCCTCGTTACCGCCCAATGGGCGGATCACCTCGGGACGGATATCCCGATCCGAACCGCAAAATATGACAGACATTATTATTCTTGCATATCAGACTGGCGTTTCCGTGAGTTTTACCCATGCCGGATATTTCATCTGGCATGGGGGGTTCCAGATGAGTCGCGTGCTGTACAATGGCACGATTAGGATGACGTCATTTTACCGTTATGAATGAAGTTGTAATTCATACGCCGTTGTAAGAAAGTAGTTATGGTTGTAATGATATAAATTTTCATTGAAAATAAAGATAAAGAATTTAAAGTATAATGGAATATGGTAGAATATGCAAGAAAAAATATCTGACATATGTTTGCGGTCCGGATCGGAATATCCGTCCCTCGGTCACCCGCCCATGGGCGGTAACTCGGCAAGCCTCGTTACCGCCCAATGGGCGGGTCACCTCGGGACGGATATTCCGATCCGAACCGCAAAATATGACAGATATTATTAATACGATTTATTTAATTTACACAGTCTATGTGAGAGTTGCGTGTTTTGAATAATTCATAACTTCTATGATAGTGAAAGTACAATACTATAAAAAATATCACTGTCTTTTGGACTGACGTAATGTATACACAATACATTCTCAAATTTATTCAGTGGCATGTATTTTTAAATTTCAAAGGTTATTTTCTGGCATGCGTAAAATGAAAATTCATCTTAAGAGTTATCTCCCCTTTTTGAACCCTATTGGCGATTCTGTGTTACAGTAATTCAGTATTTGTGCTTAAATGAATTTGTGTCAACTGTAAAGAATTTGTGTAAATTATGTAGATTAATGAGTACGTTTGACATTTATTGTTATTGTAACATATATTTAAGATATACAGGGTCACACCGACCCTAATTGAATCTTGAAAGCTGCTCTGAATTATCTTAAAGGTCAAGACGTCATTCCGTCACACAGCGTTAATGACCGCATTTTAAATACTCATAAAACTCTTCTTTACTAATGCAAATTGCAAATGTTTGACATTATTACATAGAAAATGCATTTCCGTAAATGCCAGACTAATGCAGGTTGTTTATATGTATGCCTCAAAAAATGATGTCACAGTTAACTAACAATTTCAGACCGATATCGTTCAAGTACTTCGACACATCGAGAAAATCGACTAATCGGAGTTCGACTCATAGAAGTTCTACTGTAGTTGAAAACATACAAAAACAGTAAATTTTAATGTGCGAAAATTTGATTTTATTAGTTCATATAAAATTACATTTTCAATTATCAATGTTCACGTAATCGTTGCGTCCTCTAAATATGAAATCTTCAGTTATGGATGATATAAAACTAGTACAGCGTTTCTGTAGCAGACATAGAGAAGGAAATACCAAATGTAACGCATGCGCAGAAGGAGTTGATATTAAAAACATCGGTCACCATTAATGTCCCCCCTTGATTCTGTCATTTCCAGGTACCAACAGATCATCTTGAGGAAGCAAAGGGTTGTGGGACTTCTGTGATTACACATATTTACATGGATAGAAAAGACGAGGTTAGAGTCAACTGGAAGGCGCCAGCTGAGGGCGGCTGTGTTGAATTCAGGTAAGCGGTATAGGGGATGTTTCTAGTTATGACATGCCTTTATCACAATCATTAGCCGTACCAGCATGCACTTGTGTAGTCGAACAAAGTGTATCAAAATTAGTATTTTGATTTCAAAACCCCATTCTAGCAATGGTCGTGTGGTAACATCGTATAAAAATGGCCAACTTTGGTAAAAACTGTATTGAAGAACCACCTGGGCATGAAGACAACATTGAGAACAAATCAAGAATGCTTCTTATTATAATTCTCAATAAGAATCTAGTATTTTATCAAAGTTCCCTAGTTTAAGAATCAGCTTTTCTACAGCGACGATGTTTTTTATTTCTCAAATATTGGCCTTATTCGACAGGTCCGGTTATATATATATATAATTTTAGCCAGGTTATTTAAGAATGCATTCGCCTTTGCAATAAAAAAAACACAAAACTATTTTGAAATTTTACAATAAAAACACCGACATTTTTTAAAGCGAAATGCTGTGATAGGGACATTTCTCTGGCAAATTTTCGCAAGGGATAATTTACACTTTTTTTGCTCGTTTTGTTTAACTTGAAGGCGTCTTCCATCTGTTTGTCAGCAAAGTCTGGCATGAAAACATTCCAGTTTACTTCCAGACTTTATATCATCCTTCACTATCTGTAAAAACAATGCAAACATGACATGAGAATTCCTAGCAAATGCACGAGAATAACGTGCAGATAATAGATGACGGTTTGATAACAAGGGAAAATAAATCACTGAAATTATTACTTTTGCAATTGTTAGGTAATGGAATCTTGTAAGAAAGTATCAGATTATGATTGAAGGAATGCATTATTACGGAGACTCGGCTCGTTTATGTTGCATTATTTCTGTGAATTTGATGAATGAAAGAACAATAGGATATGATAAATTGATAACAATGACGCTCTTCATCAGTGGAGAATATAAATACAGGGCATGCTGGTATTTAACCCGGTCTATGTTCATTAGAGTTTTATTATATCATTGTCATGTAGCGTTATAAGACTGTAGAAATTAAAGATATCGTAAACTAATAAGATAATCCTAGCTCGGAGATAACGTACATCATATAGGTTGTAAGTTTTCTAATTAGTGTATAAATAATTCACAGGAATTAACCAGCCTCCTCTGTAATAGATAAAACCCGTTTTTTATACACTGAGCATAAAAAATCAGTCCATACTCACATGTACGTAGGAGAGTTAGTACCGCAAGCGCATACGAGAAAAATACTGTGCACAAATCCTCAAAAGACCTCAACATTTCGTATTATTGCTTTGTAAGCCTCCGATACAGAATTTCCAAAACTGACTGATATAATAATAAGTTCAGTGTGCTTAAAAGTCGTTATATATATATATATCAAGTTATTTGCATATAGCTAGTTGATTTAGATAAGTAAATTATTTTGCATTTGACCATCCATATGTTTCGAGTGAAATTGGTATTTTTGCTTTATCAGATAGTAAAAGTAGACTGTTGCTTGTGCTTCATAGAATTTGGTTCAAAAAGGGTTCAACATTGTTAGGCTTATTTGTTATACTGATGAGGATTATAGCTTCAAAAATCGTAGATAAATTTAGCTATTTTATTACTGCGCGATTCAAAATCTTCAATAAAATCAAATTTTCTGCTAAACCTCGCATCATTAAAATAATTGTTAACATCTATATTAATTCCCAGGCGCCCAGTTTCAGCATTTCCTGGGCGGAAAATTAAAATAATGATGTTAACCATGACATTTTTACTGCGTTATACAATTAATACGGCCACATATAAATGGCAGGAATTCAGCACGCGAGCACTTAACCCATGTATCCCTAACACATTAAGTATAAAAAAGCAAAAACATGCTTAAAAAAAAGTTAATATTTATGGCGTACTTTACAGGTCAAATTTTCGCCTTGTATACCTCTGATCCTAAAGGTACACCATACTCGACTAAAAAAATTATGGAATACATTGTGAGACAAAACTGTCGGAATTTGGTTAACTTGTCTACTGCAACTGACGAAATTGATTTGATAAAGTATGATTTAATGATTAATTTGTTAATCTTTAAATGCATGAGTTAGTAAATCTTGATTTATAATGTCTGGAAAATGATTAAAGTAAGACTTCCTACACATCTTGAAATTATTACAGAATCTTAAAATCAAATTGTTTTTGCAAGTGTTATAAACTTGTAAAACTTAATTTGATGTCATAAAACTATGATAAAAGTGAAAAAAGGACGTGGAACCCCGCCAGAACAACGTTATCTTTGTTAATTGATTTTTGGCAACAACCAGCATGCGAGTATCGTGCATGTTTTAAATTACAGACTTTAAAGTGGCATGCCTCTTCATTTACATAAAACTGATTTAATTATTTGTTATAATTTTGATTGGCCATCACTTTTGCAAGCTTTTTTTATAGAGGTCACATACAACAATGTGTTTCACTGAGTCCGAATGCGCCGCCAACCTTAAAAAAAGAAAACCGGAAGTGGTAACGCAGTTTTGTCGAATTCGGACGGACACACGTTTTTAAACTGGAACAGCGACGTCCAAAATATGTCTTTGACCTTGACACTAGAATCTTGTATTATGTCATTCATATGTTTTAAAGTTGGAAATTTATATGGAATCTTCTTAAACCAAAAGGTTCTACAATATTATTCTATGATCGTTGAAATTAGTTGATTTTCTTGCATCTTTGTTCTCTGATTGAAGTAGATTTGAAAAATGAATTTTAGAATGTTAAGACTTCTTCCCTTTACGGTTATTAATTAAGAAATGACGTTATTACCCATGAAACTAGTTATTCATTTATCCTTTTTTAGTAATATCCTAGCAATATCTTTGCAATAAAACTAAAAAATAAATAAAGTATCACAATATTTATTCTGTTTTCAAAAGATTTAAATGATATTTACAACAAATGGGTTGAATATAACTAGTGTATACTTTTGTTTGATAAATTGTAATATATTTATTTTTTGTTGTTGTTGTGCATTAAGCCTAATATTTTGATTTTGTTGAGAAATATTTTCATGTCGGTGTTCTGGCATGCAGCTTTAGTTGTGAATGCTTGTGGTGTCTGTTGTACGCGAAAACAAAAACTAAATGATGTGAATTTCTCTCTTATATTGAAACAAAAAGGCTGATAGACTGATAAATGTTATATTTTTTTGTAATATATTTCATATTTATATTTTTTTATTCCATACTGCTAGATTGAAGGCCATTTTACATAATAACCAATGTAATGTATATAGTATTAAACACACAAAACATTGATGATAACAAATGAATATCAAATGAATATTAAATAAAAAAAATGAATATTAAATGAATACCAAATGAATATCAAATGAATACCAAATAAATATCAAAATAATGTCACATTAATGTCAAATGAATATTTAATGAATATTAAATGAATATCAAATGAATATCAAAGGAAAATTTAACGAATATCAAAGGAATATTAAATTATTGTTTACGGGTTCAATGAAAAATAGAGTGAACTAAATGATAATTACAAATTAGTACAAGCACGTTCCTATATAAACTGATTTGTGTGCCCTACACTACAGTACAAAATGTATTATTTATTTTGTTTAAGACTATAATAATAATAATAATAATAATAATAATAATAATAATAATAATAATAATAATGATAATAATAAAACTGCAAAAACACAACATTAAAAGGAATCCGATGGAGCAAAGCTATAGTTTGTTATTTGGTTATATAAAGCACTTTTGTATCAGTCTAGGAGATAAAGTTTGTACTTTTTTTTTCTTACAAATTTAACAAGGTGAAGGTCGTACGAGCCGGCAACTGTTACAGAACATAAACAAGTAGATTCAGTAATTTGATTGTTTAAAATTGAAGTAGCTGAAGTGGTGTCAGTGTAAACATAAGAAAACTTCACTGAACCCTTCACAGTTCATTGACACATTAATTGCTTGATTTAAAATATCAATTTACTCCAAAAGCTATGTTTAAAATACACCGTCTACATCGATAAATCAAAGTTAATTGTTATTTCTGTCGATTAAACTTTTGGCAAACTTTCCAATTGTTGATGTAACATTTGCGTTTAAATTTTCAAACTATTTGCTACTGATTGTCCCAGTGATTTAAATAATCTTAGGATATAAGGCGGCGATTTGACATCCGAAAATACGCTATTATAACATTTGTTATTATTTGCTATTCTATAATTTGTGATTAAAATAAACATGTAAAGGAAACAAGAACTTTTTTCGAGTTTCTCACTTTGTATAGGAGCTTTCTCACTTTGTATAGGAGCTTCAATTTCATAAATTGTATTTTAAATACTCAACTTATGCATTCTTTAACTTCTGTCTATACGCAAACAAAGCATGTGCAAAATTTATGTTTTTTTATGTGAAAAGCAAAAAACTTAATCACCCAGACCACCTAGCGAACTACGAAATGCTACACCATTTTTCTTATTGTTGCTGTGACAAAAATATAAATGGGAACAACGTAAAGAACTGACAACTTATCAGACATAATGTAATAGGACAAGATAATTGCTTAAAGTTACAAACTTGCGGAATGTATATTCTGTAAGTATGCATACAATGTACAATAGCGCGTTGATTAATTCCGGATGATAAGTCTGTCGGACTAGTAAGTTTAGATTCTTTGCGTTGAAAATGTAACTTTATTATTTACGGCATATAAAAATTGATATAGCAATATTTCTTCAATATAAATGAAAACAAAAAAAATATATTATAGTACACCATCGGACATGATTTTTTTGTTCTTTTAATCTCTAAAAAGGCAGATGTTCGCTACAAAAGAACAGGGGTAATTATTTTAATACGTCGTATTTATAACGTGCAAAAATCTTCAAAAAGATTTTACTGATTATTTATGTTTAACGCGAACAATCAAAAGAATAGTCGAACATAAAGCGGTCCGGCCAGAATTTAGATGTCTTTTTTTACGTACAAAAGACGTAGCGGGAACGATAAATTATCCAAGCTGACTGTGTTTAATTTCTGTACTCAAACCGTACGATGATATATGTATTTATGTAACGTTACACCTAAATGCTGGTGGCACTTACTGTAACACTTGTGCTTTTTTTCTTTTTAACATATTTTTTTCTTGTTAACCGGACAAAACCGAGAAACGGACTGATTATGCTAGGTGTATAAAGTGACATAAAGCAAATATTTCATTTTATTTTTGCAGCAAAAAAAGTAAGAAGTGAGATTTAACATATCTTTTTTAAAGACGTGGTTTTCGTTTTTTGCAAGCTTCTATTTCATGACGTTTTATTCTCATTCATTAAAAGTTGTGTTTTTTTGTCACCACAACAATCTGTTGCAGGTGAACACACATTCATAGCTCTTGTTCATATTTACAGATGTAATACAGGTTTTTTTTGTTAAGAGACCATTCTGTTTAAAACGTGCGCTGGTTTTGCCATTTAATGCCTTTTAATGTATGAAGTAAAATAAGCAAACAGGCATGTGTATATTAGTAATGTGTTTCGTTTCATATTAACGCATAATTATGTCACTTTTTATCGAAATGACACGTATAGGACTCCGTAGTAATAATTTCTTATGTGTCCATCTTGCACAAGATTAAAGGTTCACATCCGATGAAACAAGTTTAATCTTGTGCTGTTCAATAAACGTCGTGGCAGAGCAAAGGTTAAGACAGTTTCTTTTTTTACAAATTGATTAAAATTGTTATATTTGCATTGTTTAGAGCACGTGTATATATTAAACGTTTATTACTTCGCTGATAACCTACAGATCATCGCGTTTCCCCTTTTTTCAACAAAGTTTGTACGTAAAACATTCCTGGTTCACCAATGTATACCTACAAATACATATACCCGGGCCATGTTGGTACGTGATTAATCAAACAAAAAGTAAATTTTTATTTACTCAAATGAATGCTTCTCACATGATATAAAGGGCCCTGCGATAAGATATGCAAATATCCACATTAAAATACATTTTATTGAAATTATGTTTACGAAAACGCGAGATTAGGGTTAGTGTTTTATGTTAATCCACCAAGAAACTCGATGATTGTTCCTCTGTGTTAGTTGCGTGTTGCGCCAGAGTTTTTCATAAACAAAATTATTAGATGAAAGGTTTTCAGGTCGTCTTTTAAGGGTTTAAGGACTTTAAACAAGAAAGTATTTAACGTCTTCAGATTGATATAGGGCGAGAATGTCAACGGGTTCGTTTTCACGAGGTTTGTTTAAAGTAGTTTGTATCTTTTTTCTTTTACTTTGAAGCGAGAATATCAGACCATAGGAGATGCACGAGCTGTCGGAAATTCCTATCCAGAGAAAAGGTTGATCACGAACTTCTTTTAATATGTACATGTATTTTTTTCGAATTTCCATTGGTTGACATGCTCTTTTACTTTATTCAAATAATTTAAATGGATCCTTACAGCGCGCGCCTCTTTCATATGGTATATGAATAGTATTATTTACACCACCACCATCACCACCACCACAACAACAACAACAACAGCAATAACAACAACAACAACAACAGCAACAAGTACACCACCACCAACACCACCACCACCACCACCACCACAACAACAACAACAACAACAACAACAATTAAATTACAATCGACATATCTTAAAAACTATATCAACTTAAAAAGTGAGAAAGAAGTTACACCCCCGATTATATTCTTTATTTACTTCATAAATAATAAGTTTCATAATTCAATGGATATGTTAATAAATAATCACATCAATACATTACTTAAACCGGTTTAAGATTGTGAAATCTTCAAGACCGATGAATTTATTTTTCTATTATGGCTTTTTTTGTTTCTATTTACTGGTGATTTTACAGCTTTAAACATTGTAATCGAATTTTATTGCACCCGAAAACAATTCATCAAAGACTTGACAAAAGCGTTGTAAATCGTTTAATCACCTACTTTAGTTTTGATGTTATGAAACAGACCTGACAGCAGAAAAAAAACAAGGCTTGCTTTCAGTGTTAATGCATTTTCGCACATTTTAATCACTCGGGCAGATCTCGGATGCGAAAATGTTATGAATATTTTGCAGTTTTGTTTACGGAAAAGGATTTCCACATATGCTTGTCATAGAACACATTGAGAGGAAAAGTTGGTGTTTTTTTTGGTCTCCTGGTTTGCAGTCAAGATGAATGTAGTACCGTGTAACCTAAACAACAAAAAACATCCTCTTTACCTTTAAAGAGCGGAAAGACGTGGACGTATACGTTTCGTGTTATATCATCATTCAATTATACATGGAGCGTATTTATACATTGAAAGATGGATATTTTTATCATGACCTATATATAGAGTCTCTAATCAAACTGAAAAAAGTTATTGTGTCAAGATTGACATAAAACTATAACGTAACTTGGGCGTGGCTAACCACTCATGACGCATTTTTAACTAGCTGAAAGATAGTACAAATCAAATGTAATAAAGGCCAAATTATCCGACTGATAAGCGGAAATTGCTGACAGTAACCATTATTGGTTATAGTGTCTTTGGTTAATGACTAGCGTGACACGTTACTGTGTGAATAGCCACGTGTACAACACTGACTTTATAGAGTATTACTTTTCTTCCTGCTATACAAAATTTAATTGTAATGTCAGTCTTACTAGTGATAACTGAGTTTTAAAAAGATCAAGTCATGTTATAAGCACAGACAACTGGTATGTGGAGCTCCAAAAGCTTTAAAATCCAAATAAAATGTATATTTGTCAATCCCAGCGCATTAACTTATCATATACATGTATTATGTAAAACATTGAAATGTGATTTAAAAAAAAAACAGCTTAAGCTTAAGATTTTTTACATATATGATAAGTATATGCGCTGGGATTGACAAATATACATTTTATTGGATTTTCAAGCTTTTGGAGCTCCACACCCCAAGTGTCTGTGGCAATAAGAAATCAGAATGGAAATAAAAGTATTTGTTCAAATTATAGCAGGCTTTCTCAAATATTTTGCATTTAATCTGTAGGGGTACAATGTTGATCCAAAATTACAAAATTATAACTTCAAATTAACTATATTATGCATTTAAAATGCATTTTCAATCTGTATTTAATTGCAAGAGCTGTTTGAAAACAGAAAACATATCTTTAGAATGAAAACCAGATGGGTAAAAAGTGTGGTATAGAGGTAGGAGTGGGGTGTTTGAGGCGTAGGGTAAAATATTCAAATCTATTTATCAAATGAAAGTACAAGAGGACTATATAACGATGGTGAAGAGTTATGATATGGGGTATTATAATTGTATCAATTTAGAGAAGAAAGATCACTATTATAATTAAATATTTCAAAAGTGTACTTAATAAACGGTAGAAAAAATGCTTTGAAGTGTGTGTAAATGGGAAATAAACCACCTTAATCGGTCTATCTGAACTTGTAACTGAAGATATAGATTTGATTTTAATTCCTAGGAAATGTCTTATCAATCCCTATTAAGTACCATCTCTTACTTTAATTCCTGAAAAAAAAAATCCAAAATTTCTCTTAATGTCAAATAATTTCCTGATAATTATTTTCATAATTAAAGTTTCAAAAAGTCATTAAATATATAGTACATATCAGTCAACTGCGTGTTCCATACACTAATGAGATTTTATAAGCTTTTGAGGGGAACAAGGAACTTGTGGTTAAATTGTACAAAATTTTAAAATTTACTCGTTGCTGTCAAAATTATCATAATTCATGACTGTCTTTTAGATAATTTATTTTTTTCAACTTGAAAAATATATATTTGAATACAACAGAAATAATATTACTTTCTGTTAAATTATTATTTAAGATTTCACTTAGTCTTCAACCGTCAAACCTGTCATATTTCGTGGAAATGCATGTCTTTCATGAAAAGGAACGCGGAAATACGTCATCATGTTTCTCGGTTGGGAACCAGTCTTTAATTTGATTGGTAGATCTTAAGAGCATATCCTTTTGGCTGGTGTCCTTTTTTTGCAATTTCAGCTTATTTGTCTGCGGGTTTAGTACTCTGTTAGGTTACAGTAAGGGCGGATCGACCCTTGTTAAGTGGGGATATACAGATGTTTGCCAAGATGATGATGTCACAGAGCCTATGTATGGAATCGAATAGTACGAATGACAGTATTAATTTGACAACACATTTTATTTATAATACTATTATTTATAATTTCAGGGCAACAGTGGTTTCTGAAATTCCTACGCGATGGTTCAAGGATGACGGCGGCTTAACTGTCAAAATATGTCATGAGGGTAAGTGAGATAGAGGTCATACAGTTATTATCCCCCTTGTTTTAGAATATTTAAATTCATCATTTCAATATTAAAAGTTTTTTTTTTTTAAATATAATAGTTTTTTTCATTATAACAGTTCAGGATGCCTGAATCTTCGAAGTTTTGTAAAATATTGAACAAAATGGGTTTTGTGAAAATCTGGAAAAAAAAATAATTCTGAAACTGGGCGTTTATTTTAGTTTTTACTAATTAGTTATAAGTCGAGACCTCAGAATACTTAAGAATTTAGTTACCATCTGTGTAAGTTTGGATAAATTTTATGGCATAATTATATTCATCGTCGGTATTCCGTCCGTGTGTTCCGACAGTAGCCACTATAGATACCTATATGAATACGTGTACTAATTTCTGAGTGATTTGCTATTATTAACGTGTATACGTTATTGATGGCAAAAGCACAGCCGTTAGGTCGGCACGCGCTTAATATCGTCTTAAGTGTTTCAATGAGCTAGACAATATGTCGATTATCATACTGAGGAGAAACAGCGAGACAATAAACTAGAGTAATCTTGAATCAATTTTGTGGAATCCTTAAATTTGAAATTAAATCCGGGTTCAGAAATAAATCATTGATCTGCTGTACGAGCATCAATGAGCCCAGTGAAAACGATAAATGTTAATGATATCCGCATAATCCGCCCCCTTCTAGAATGTAAAATCTAAATAATCTTTTGGTGCCTCCGATCCTCATCTCGTAACGCTGGTCTATCCCTTATTCCAACTTGTATATTACAAACCAATTACTTAGATTAAAAAAAAATCTTTAATAAAAATCTTCAAATTGTGCAAACAGATCGGTAATGATAGAAGCTGTGCACTAGATAAGATTCACGTAAGTGTAGGGTTAAATTCAAAGTAAAGCTGATGTTAGTTCAGTTCAAGAAAAAAAGGCAAAGATGTGAAAACCACAATGCTTTAATTCGTTAACCTTTAAGTTATATGTTTTTGTTTTTTTTGGTTACGTTTCTTTGCATGTTATGTGAGAAATGTCACTAGAAAACACATTATCTGCATGACATGGGAATGAAATGAACAACTTGCGTGTCAAATAATGACATACACGTGAAAAATAGTTTTAACTTTTATATTTGGGTGTTTTTTGGTAAATTTAAGTCAACAAATTATTGTATTCCGGTAGTTTAAATGACCTATATCCGTATTTGCGTTATTTTACAATAGGTATAAATGATTTACCACATTCTGATACGTATTTAAGATATCACAAGATGCGTTCAATGAAAATGTTATTTAGTGATTTCACACTCAATTTCTTCTCTAATCTTATAATCTACCAACAGCCTGAAGGGTACAGTTTTTGTTCCAGTCGGAATTATATGTGATTTCTTGACTGTTGTCAGCGGGTTTTCAGATGCACAGTGTTAATGAACGCGAGAACTCCGTGCAGTATCAAACAGATAAAAAAAAGAAGAAGTAAAAAACAGATTTTACCTACGTGATTATTTTAAGGCTCTATAGAAAGAACACCTAGATTATACAAATAGTAAACGAATGGTATTATATTGATAGTTTATTCGATAAGTGTTCATTTAAAATTTTTAATAAATAGTCATAAAGGGCTTGCTTGTTGTTGTTGTTTTATATCAAAGTGTACAATTTTGGTTTCAGACCCAGCAGTTATTAACGAGCAGGGGGACGTTCCGGCACGGGAAACAAAGGAGTGTTGCGCATGCGGGGAAGCACGCTATAAAATGGTGTTTCAGGGACTTTGGTCAAAACAGACCCACCCGAAAGGTTTCCCAACCAAGAATAGTAAGTATCACATTTTACATATAGTAGTCGTTAGCAATTTGATCTTAAAAGACCACCTAGTACTTCTGGTGAAATGGGAAACATACAAATAGCGTCACCCGCAGATTTGATCCCTAGCGCTTAAGGTTAATTGTGCTATTATATTTTATTTTTCAATTTAGATGTATAATTAAAAACATGGCGCCTTTCAATGGTTTTTTTCTTATTTTATGTTTCCGTTATGGTGTTTGTTAGTCTGACATGATATAAGAAATTTCATTTCCTTGTGGATTTATTAGGTCTAGTATAGAATAATAAATAAGTCATGGCCATGATACGCCGTCTTTGCAAAACAGAATATGGACGGAGCGTTTAATAACTCAGTTTCATTCCAGTTTATGAAGTGAAAAGGTGTAAATCATAAAATCCGGCCGCATATTCGTATCTCGCAAATTCTCGCGTGACGTGTGATTGGTTTATTCTCTAAACTTTCCCACTCGTCGCTTCTGTATTTATAATTAATTAGAAAAAACATTTAAATTAGCATTTATACTGAAAATAATCATGACAGTTTTCGAGTGATCTTAAGGTGTGAAATTGCTCATATTTTGACTTCCAGCAGACGACAAGAAAGGCGCGTGAGAGACAAGGTCGTGATCATAAAACTGTATTTGATGTTTGGTGCATATTTTTTAAAGATAATCCTATCATATTGCATTATTTCGGTGCACCAGAAATAATTTACGAGCAGACGAAAAATGAAGTTATTTTGCATTTTATTTTAGTTTTAGAGATTTAAGCAAATGCACTAAGAAATATGGTAACACGCCCGTTTTAAAAGGTCATTTACGGTCAGTGTTGGAGTAAAATAACCAGATTTACTCGTATTCATATAAACAGTTATGAGCTTAATTTGATACGAAAAAGATAATATTTAGGCTTTCACCTTAGTCACTTCGACATGAATTATTTTTTCCCAAAGCTTTAAATTATATAATCTTATGATAAACCATGTTTATATGATAAACCATGTTTAACATAACTATGTACGCCCCCGCTCTGATTTGTTTGACATTACCGTTATCAAAGAATAAATCAAACAGATCACCGAAACACGGAGTCTGAGAACGCTATTTTCGGTTCATCAGATGACAAATTTGGCGCCATGCAGGAGACAATTCACTATTGTCTATATCATCACGTGTTCAACATTTATATCATCTTTTATATCAAACGTTAACTTTCTTTATTTTGAATCTTTTATCAAAGAAAATTACCGCAGCAATAATACGTCAAAATATTTGTGGGCAATTTTCTTTATTTTTTTTGTAAGAAGATTGTTACCGTTTAAATTTGCCCATAGTTAAAGCGTCGTTTATCATTTGGTATATTACTTTGATGTATCTTTCACCGTCAAAACTGTCATAATTTTCACACTTGTTATAGGGTTCAGTTAACAACATATGGAAATCATCAAAAACACTGTCAAAGTCAAATGTTTTCAACCTTATCTGATAACTCAATATTTTAGGTATACATGTATGTTGAATTCATTCTTTTAAATTTCGCTCTTTATACTTCATGAAAACACAAATAGTATCAAGTTATCAACAAAATACGAAACATTTGACATGTAACCCCTACCCCAATACTCTGCTCACCGCCCAATATCTACTGGGGCTGTCAAAACATTGATACTGTAAATAGTAAGAAAGAAAACAAGACAAAAACAAACAAACAAACAAAAAACTGCAAAAAAACAAACAAAACAAAACAACAACAACAAAACAATGCTATTTTACATGTTCAGATGTTAAGATAAATATATAATTAGTTTAAAGTGTTCTGATAACCAATTTTACGTATTTGGACATAGTTTGATAAAAGGTATCCTATAAACAATTAATGCCGTTTTTTTACTGTTTATTTACAGTTCTATCAATTTTAAAATAGTTGACATCCATCGTACCAAACGCCAACAGCGATAACTCTGCTGTTGAGGCGAAAGGGGAAACGGAATCTTTTCATATGTTAAAAACTTATATGGGACTTTCAAAGACTTTCATATCTCTAAACATGACCTAATTGAACTTTAAAAATAATGGGAATGAACGCTGTGCAAAAGTTTTGATGCATCCTCACGAAAAAATCATAATTTTAAAACAAATTAACATGCATATTTTAATATCATATCTCCACTCAATATAGTAAAGGTTAAAGCTGAAGAGAGATCGTTTAATCACATCATTTTGACATTTATTTCTGTTTTAGTGGCTAATATTGTCGGAACATTAACTTCAATTTAAATGTAAATATTATCATATTTTAAACCAAATAGTTTAACCGATCCGTGAATGATATCTCTTGTAAAAAATATGAAACATGACAAATTAACTATCATTAAAACATTTAAATTTTGTATCACACTCCTATGGTGGCAAATACGTGCCGTTTAATTAAGTCGCGACAATGATTATAATCAGTCTCCATACTTTTCCATGAATTCAGATTAAATGATAATTGGCTTCATTTGGTTTCTATTAAAATGTCATATAACGAACAATTAACTAATTACCCGTATTTTCCGTTGCTTCTTTTTTAGACGCTCTCTTACTTCACTGGTCCAATATAGTTGGTGCTACGCACACGGAGGATTACCATATATGGGAATACGGAGGATACGCTGAACGCGGAGTGAGGGAAGTCTGCGAATATGGTCATTCCACAAAACTTGAGAAGAACATGAAAGAAAATGTAAGTACATGTAGTTTCTAAAAAAAGCCTCAACCTTCCCGGAACCGGAAATGATTAGCCTTCGCCTTCAGTTTAGAGCCACACGTAGACTAACCAAACTCTATACTCTTGGTTGAATAACTAGACATATTCATCCTGCTATCCCCAAAATTGATAATGGACAGTTCCAAAATTTAAAGCTGAACGAGTCTATTTAAGAAATTTAGCAGAATACGGATTAATTACATTGAGGTTGCTTGGTTCGAACACATAAGAAAACAATATGTTAAAGTGCTATGTTAAGCGATTGAAGATATAATGCATTTCTGCAGGAATTTCCTTCATAACATTGATTCAAGTGTTCCACAAATTGATTACCTCTTGAAATACTGCCTTATTGTGTACTTGAAATGTATTTAAAGCGTAACTGTTACACGCTATCAAGTCAATTGTTATTGCAACAAAACAAAGAGAGCTTTCTACAAAATAATCTGTACAAGATGCATTTAGTTCCAAACTTTGTATGAAAAACAATTTCAAAAAGCAAAATGTAGAAAGAAATGCGGTATAAATACAAAAGATTCTGTTTAAAGACATGTTTGGCTGAGTGGTTCATGCGTAGGACTAGTATTCTAAGGATCGCTAGCCATGTGGGTTCAAACCTTCTTAGAGTCAAGCCGTTGCTTCCTTCAGTAAAAAACTTTACAACCATTGCTCAGTAGAGTGCATCGTCGGATACCCATTGTTGATTAACATGTAATGATTTTAATGTGTGGCCTGGGTATCCGATGACGAGTAGGGTGTTTCTATGAACTTAAAGCTTCCTACACAATGGATTTAAAATAAATTTTGTATGAACCAAAAACATATTAGAGGAAATGTATCACGTATAGACTGTAGTGATTCGAACACGATGTTAGGGCAATAATAATCCGATGATAGGTTTTAACCAGCTAGGCGACTGTTATGTGAATACACAAGGATTTTGTTAAATATATAAAAGCTTTGATAATTTTCACCCCTTATTCATAGTACAAAATATCCACTTTATTAATTGGTCAGTGAACTGGATGTATTTATTTAATGTATTTATTGATAAACTTTCATTCTTTATGATACAAAGTTAGTTTGATTTTATAAATTTACGGATAATGAAAAAATCCCAGGACAAATAGAGAGACACAGTGTGACGTATTTATATAGCATAAGAAATTAGTAATTGCCCAAACTTTAATCTGTAGGGGGTATTTGAGGCGAAAGGTTAAAAGTTCACGATATTGAATGGGTTTTCGTCAAATGTAGAAAGATTTGATATTTTCATAAAACAGAAATTCTAAAATCGATGGATTCTTTCAAAAATTGAAAGAACAAATATTTCAAAAGGAGAACATGCTTTAAGATGTTTATTCATGTATTTATTTTAAGACAATGGAACTTTTTCAATGATATGTCATGTAGTTTGGTATTTCTATCCAAACAAACGAACGAACGAAAGAACGGTCGGGCGGAAGAAAGAAAGAAATAAAAAATAAAGAAATTAAAAAAGAAAAAGAAAAAAAGAGAAAGAAAGAAAAAAGAAAGAAAGAAAGAACAAAAAAAAAATGAATGAATGAATAAATAAATGAAAAAGAGAAAGAAAGAAATAAAAAAGAAAAACAGAAAGATAGATAGAACGAAAGAAAAAAAACGAACAAATACTTCTAAAACAAAACAAGAACAATGTCATCTCATCCTATCCCACCCAGCCCAGCTCACACCTCCTTCAAATCATAAAAAACAACATCATTTTTAATAAAAATAGAGTGGGCAGTTTTGCAATATATAAGAGTCGGTTGCAGTAAGTGATGACTTTAATTTTGGAGTAAGGGAACATGTTTTTGTATTGAAATTACATTTCGAAATGAATGTGTTTTATGTGAATATTTCGAGAAGAGACGGAATTTATGTTGTGTTATTCATATCACATTTAAATTATCTATTTCTAAGAGTTTGGAGCAAACAGAAACTTTCCATCGTACTTTTGAAAAAACAAAAAAAAAAATATTTCAAATGCGACCGTATTGCCAAGTTTTAGCAATTGCTACATAACAAGTAAGGGCAACTGTACATTATTTGTTTTTGAAGCTTCAAACACTGACAGATCTTATAAATCTTAAAGCATGTTCAAGTTAATCGATCACGTGAGGTTTTGGCTACAATATTTTTGTATTAAATCAAATGTCTTAATTACCTTTGTTGCTTGTCTGATAATTTTTCAGACGTCAGACTTTGTAAACTTTGAACCTTTTTTCACCGCGAGACTTTTGGGACAAAGAGCATTTGAGGACACGTCTGAAATAAATACTTTTTCACAGCTAAATTAAGTCAATATATTGTCGTCACATAATAAGAGGGAAGCCCTAAGTATGTATTTTAACAGGTGACGAGCGTTTATTATAAGATTTATAAAGTATCATTTTTTTTATCCATTCTACAAATATTTGTTTTTGCGTTTGACTCATCCAAGTGCCATCTCGGCTTGGCGAGACGAAGGGAAATCAAACTATGAGCTGTATATTATCTTTAAAGTGCGTTTTCGCATAAGGGACATTTGACAAACATTAAGTTTGTGTAGTGTTATGTTAATATCTTAAAAATTGTGAAAGAAAATATGTAATTTTTTGTTTTGAAATTTAAGTGCACTCATATAAACTACAATATAATTACAAGAAATATGGAATGGCTTTGAGGACATTACAAACTGTTTTCAACGTTTTATTTGTTATTTTTCCTAAATATATGACACTATTTTTTATAAGTATCAGCAAAGAAATCTCTTACAAATAAACAAACAAACAAAAATGTAGAAAACATGATGTTCTCTTCCTGAATCTTGGAAAAAAAGTGATAAAATCTAGCAATGGATAGTCCATTATTATTATCAGTTTTTATTTATTTATCATATATCTATTTCAACTTACATATTCCTAGCGTTTTATCGGCATATCAAATATTGCATGTGATTATTGAAGCTACGTTGAAATATTTTGCATTGACTCGTATAAACGGTCAAAGATGCTGGTCATTTTACACGGTTGGGAATACGGCCATTTTACGGCCCAATGGCATCTGGTCATTATAAAGCCATATATCTTAATTAACTTACCACGGTATGACAGTGGACACGTTTGAAAATACATGAAGCGTTCTGACTGAAGGCCACCTAATACATGAAAGCAACGTACGTTCAAGAATATTAAATATCAGCCTAGTCGACATGTCGCATGTTTTGATATTTTGAACACGAAAATAAGAAAATAATGAGGGTAATTAAAGTTTTAAAATAGCAACAACCTGGAATATAAATATACAATATCATGATGCTCTGAGAAACGAGGAAATCGTAAAATTTCTTGATGAAAAGCTTGCCGACTGACTAAAATTCTTGAATTAAATTTTCTGAATATATTCTTAAGACAGAGAACAAGGTGGCAAGGTGTTGAAGTATGTCTGAAAGGTGAACTTTGAGGCTTGACTAAGGTCAAAATTTGTATCTTATATCTGCATGTAGCTAGTTTGTGAAACCTTTCAATGTATTTGTGACAAAAACGTATTTAAAATAGCATGGCATATAGATTTAAAGTAAAGAAAACAAATAATCGACGCTCAGCCCGCCTCACCCAAACAACAACAAAAGCGAAGAAACACAAAACAACAACAACAACAATGAGATGAACTGAAAACAATAAGCGCAAAGATTTAAGATTTTTCTTATATATTTTTCAAAAAACGTTACTTTTGCAAACTAATTTTGGTTATTCATATGCTTGTCTCTCAATAAATTGTTTTTTTTTAATTTTCTACTTTGTATCAAATTATAATCCTCTAATAGTTTAATATATATCAATATATATTTAATAGTTTTGTAATTTTAATCTTTATCAGCAAACTTGTCTTACTTATCTCATCATCATCATCATCATCATCATCATCATCATCATCATCATCATCATCATCATCATCATCATCAACAACAACAACATTATCTTAAGGCTATATTTATTTTGTAATATAAGTCTTTGACAGTATGATTATTAAAATATTGTAATTATACGTTAATACATTAAACGTTTGATAAAACAGAATAACGATAGATTATTACCTTTTTCATAAATATTTGTTCTGTTCTGTTCTGCGCTAAAAATCAAATCTTAAGCGTGGATGAAAAAAATCAAGATAAAGGGTGCGAATTTATCCCTTTTAACTAGATAAACTCTGATCATTTATAGCGTAAATTGGAGAAGAATTTTATTATTATTTATTTCCGATTTCCATTAATATGCTATCCTCACAAACACTAAACTTGTGATTTATGATGGCTGCCATAAAATGAACTTATTACTTTTTTTTAAATATTACATTGCCAACACTGTAATTACAAACAAAGTCATTTTGAGCCTATATTCTTGTTTTGTGGCTCAAATTCTCTTAAATTCATTTTTATCACCAAATTATACACCCAGTTGAGCAGTGGAACAATTGAAAAGAATAGAAACATTTTCACATAAAATAGATATTAAGACATACATCATTTTATTGCCCTATTTGCGGGATAGTTTTTATATTCTTTAATATTTGTAATTATTATATTTTGATCGCTAACGTGTTTTAAGCTAAGATCATTATTAGTTCAACAATCATATGTGCGGTTGTATATAGACGGAAAGATGATGTGAATTAAGAACCCAAATGTCATCAAATCCCGAAAAGTGCAATGTAATGCCATAAAATTTACCAATAATGACATTAAACTTGGTTGAGAGAATTCATTGAGCAAAGCGACCACCCGACGAGATCGGGCTTTTATTATACATACCTAAACAGATTTACCACATAAGTTTTATTCAAAAAAATTAAAATATCCTTCTGGGTGGGGAGACCTGAATGTTTAACTATTAAAACTAGTTTCCTTTTTTACCTCAAATGTTAAGAGAACACTGTCTTCGTCTTGGCAAAACAACGCACGAATGAAATTGCATTTTTTTAAAGTTCGGGTCACAAATGCAATCTTTAATATTTATAATTACCTCAAAAGTTGTTTGTTATAAAAAGATAAAATGAGATAAAACGGTCTAGACCGCACACGAAAAGGAATCTTGCGACTAATATACACCTGTTCTTTTTCGTTTTTTCTTTTTATTTCAACAGTGCCGCTGAAGCCAAAAACTTTAAACATCATTGGCGCCGTTTATAGATTCTTTTACTTATAGCATATTTGATGAACTTATGTTTCTTTATAAAAGCTTAAATATCTGACCTTTATTACTTTATTATAAAATTATGCCGAATTGACGGGACATGTATGCTTTCGCTGGAACCTGTCTGAACTTTCATTAAAATTGAAGTGGTGCTATCTATCCGAGTACAGTTGACATGATTCTCAAGACTCCGCTATCATTCCGAACGACGGGAAAATTACACCGGGGTCTGTTTAATGTCGTGGTACTAAGGAAAGTAATGGTAGCTTCATAATAACGATAGCGGGCATGAGATAAAAATGATCATTATTATATGAGAAAGAAATGACAAAGTAGGTTATGATATAAGAAATTAAAAAGTATAAGGAATTGCATACTTCGTTGCTGAGGGTCCCTGAACCCTGAGAAATTAACACATGACTTGAAAGATATAAACAGGTGAAGATAAGTTCAGGACGTTTACAGATATTTTTCAGGACGTTTACAGATATTTTAAAAGTGCGGTCGAAAGTTATCAAAAACGGAAGTATTATTATTATGCTTCGGATATCCGGGAAATAGAATTGTTTGTAAACCGGAAGTAAAGTCATCCAGTGCTCAACAAAAACTGCATGCGGAAATATCTGGCACCTCTATTGAATGTCGTTGCTAAAAATAGAAATGTATAGACGTTTGAGGGGATAAATGATTAAGACATTCTTTTTCAATTAGTTTATTTCCTGACAACAAAACATTCAATACACTTTTGTGCAAACAAAATGCACTATTCAGATTTTAGCCCTGATTCATATCACGGGGACTGCGTAATCGAGCTTTTTCCTGCCTTCTGTCATGTGTTCTCACTGCCTCGTTATTTCGCGCCAAAATAATGCAAAATCATCTACATGCACGAGACGCAGCTCATATCTTATCTTTGCTGTGAGACTCTTAGAATTGACCCGCAGTTTTATAGTACATGTATATGTATAAGCGTTTGATTGTCTTAGATAAATGTTTCTGCAAAAGTACGGGGGTATTGTTTTTCAACAAGGATATTTATGTTGATATCTTTATTTTTTTCGTTTTACAATACAAAAACGTACATTATTTTGTTTTATTCTTACAGAGTGACAAAATTTACACTGTGATAAAGACGAGTCCGATGTGGAGAAATGTTCAAGGTCGTAAAGAAGCTGTGTTCAAGGTCAACCAAAAGGCCCATTTATTATCCCTTCTTACCATGATAGGACCTAGCCCAGATTGGTGTATTGGTATGTTTATTGCACCGTCATAATTATTATTTTATGCAATTTTATTTTAACATATATACGTGGAAAAAAGTCTGATCCGTTAGGAGAGAGGAAATACTCACTGTTACCGAACTTTGTGTGGTCTTACGCAGAATGCGCATTCGCGAAATGCTTCTTCCGTTTCTAGGGAAATATCATAATGTAAAATGTCTTTATTTGAACTTAAGGCTGTAAAATGCAAAGGAAGCATTAAAATATAGTCATATCTTGTCATTTTCACAAAAATGTCTTCCCTTCCCTTCCCCCTCCATTTTGTAGACTTCCATTTTTCGACAGGTTTAGCCATAAATATTTACAAGTTTTGTGTTGTGTGTAAATGCATTGAGTCAACGTGAATGGTTTAAAACGTGTTCTGACCAATGTATGTATTTCATGAAATGAAAGGAGCTCGAACTTTTTGTCTTCAGGTGTGCCGTCATTGTCGGTATGTAATGAGAACTGTACGTGGGCGGACGAGATGATAGTCGATTTATTCCCATGGGATGCCGGGACCGACGACGGCGTAGAGTACATTGTAAGTTGATATACATAATAATTTTAGCAATGATTATCAGTAATAGGCGTCAGTGCTTGAATGAAAACTTTCTTGTCATAATTTGAATAATATATATTTATTTTTGCAAATTCATGATAAATCATTAATATTGTGCTGTAAGTATTAAGTAGAAAGCTGAAGCAAGTAAAGTCGCTTTTTTTTATATGTATAGCAACATATTCTAAAAGAAATTCCTATGTTTTATAAAAGACATTTTTCGACCGTCCATGACAACTATCACGTATTATGTAATATGCACAACTTCACAAGATCATGGCATATATCACGTAATCTGTATTTGAAGATTTAAACAAAAAAGAAAAAAAGCATTTCTTCTTTCATAACGAGAGGAAACACTATGATAATTGAGCCGTGTCACGACAAAACCAACATAGTGGGTTTGCGACCAGCATGGATCCAGACCAGCCTGCGCATCCGCGCAGGCTGATCAGGATCCATGCTGTTCGCTTACAGACCCTATAACAAGTAAAGAAACTGATAGCGAACAGCATGGATCCTGATCAGACTGCGCGGATGCGCAGGCTGGTCTGGATCCATGCTGGTCGCAAACCCACTATGTTGGTTTTGTCGTGACACGGCTCATATATTCTTTAACAATATGATTGAAGTGTTTTATACTTACATCTAAAGTAGTTAGAGGTCACAGAGTTTCCTTTCTAGTATGAAACATCGACAGATAATAGTGTGCTGAGTAGGAAAACGGTGCATATTTGCTTCTGATCTTAAACAATTTTTTATGTATTAAAGCAATAGACAGGGAAAAAATCCCTGACATACATAAATGTCGGTTATTTGTAGTTTAGAACAAACATTACGTAGAGTTGAAGCATAATGATATAGGTTACGAGAACACTTTCAATAGTTCCAAAGTATTTGCAAGGGAAACAACTTTAGTGATACGTAAACACAAATTCATTCGCAGTAGCCTCCCTTCTTTCTTACTTAATTTAGGGTTATTTGGTACGAAGAATGTGCAATATCTAGAAAAAATGTATGAGTTTATAAAAATGGTTTTGATAAATTTTATATGTCCCTTTAGTTAGTAATATTGTTTTGCATACAAAACAATAAATTTAAAACAGCAACAACTGCAACAACAAAAGCCACTCTAATGGTATGATACGCATATAATAAATCCATACCTGCACTCGAATACTTCTAAATGCTCTCACATTTATCATGACATGAACGAAAAGTACAATACAATTTTTAATTAATAAACTATTAATGTCATACAAAAAAAATTGTTTTACAGAACAGAGGAAGGAGTCCTACCGACCCACCCGAGCGTATCCACAGAATTACAAACATGTATCCCAAGCACCCATCTTCTCCATTTTTCGGCGGACCACCAATCAAACCGTTTGCACGATTGACCTTGACCAAGTTGAAGGAGGTTTGTGGTACGGACGGTAGTTCATCGGGAGAAGATGGTGTACCGAGCACGGAAGATCTAATAAACATGATGAAACAAAAAATGATGCTCAACAAAAAACTTGGTATGATTTCATTAAAGGCCCATTATTCCTCAAAAACGATTTTAAATTAATTCAACAAGGTTAAAGCTGCATGCCTCGAATTTATGCTAATACTCATGAAAAGTTTGAACACGTTTAACGGTTTTTAAAACAGTCACAGTAGTAATGCATTAAAACTATGGTGATAAATACTTCAAAATCAGTCAATAAACGCACATTATACGTAAATTATTACTTGAATCTTTTCTTAAAATCTAACTATTTTTTTCTTGAAATATAGGGACCCATCTGGAGGCATGCAGCTTGAAAGTTGTGTATCTGTAACCTGGTAGAATTTATCATTGAAGTAATTTAAGAGCCCTTCAAACGATGTTGATATTTCGAAAACACTTTAAGTATAACTAATTATAGTCGTAGACTTGGAAGTTAATCTTGGTGAAAAAATGGATCTGCGTCGAGTTGTCCAGGCTATGTTACAGTTTTGCTACTGCCAGCCAACTTTATACTTGTTTTGGAAATAATGGAATGTTGTATACTTAATGTACAAACTATATTTTATTAATTGTAAAATCTTTAAACATTTCTAGAAATGATGAAGTGTGCAACAAGCGATTGGACGGAATGGACGGAGTGTAGCAATAGCTGTGGAACCGGAATACGTAAACGAGACCGGAGACTTGTAAACGAAAACGTGTTGCCCTCTATGTGTAACGACCTAAGTCTGGCGGAAGAAGAACAATGCCAAGGAAAATGTATGAATAATCGGCCTGGTAAAACGGGCAGAGAAAAACTAAGTGATAATTTTGAGGTCCGGCATACATACGAAATTGATTTGGACGATCCGTGTGCCATAACACCATGGTCTGACTGGTCGCCGTGTACCGCGAAACTTTGCGGCCGCGGAGTTAGAGAGAGATGGCGTATGTTTCTGCGAGAGGAAGCCCAGCACGCGAACTGTAGGCTACAAATTATGGAACCTGATATATGCTATGGAATAATGCCTGATTGTAGAAAAGCGTTGATGTTGAAAAACTTCACAGGTGAGGGAGTGTGATTTGTTACATATACATATATATGTACTTGTAAATTTAGAGTTATTTGCATAGTTGTTTCCATGTCTTAATCATAAGAAGATGTGATAATTAATTTTATTAAATAATGAAGATATTTAACAATGAAAATTTACAGAATCATAATTCACAATATAAAATCATATATTACAAATATTATAATATTATATTAACAAAGCAGATGATTTTGATTTGACAGATAAGAAAAACGGGTATCATTCGAAAGAAGCTCAATTTACTATATCAACACTGAAGTTCAGCGTACATTAAAATTATTATTTCACTTAAATTACCTGTGTATAAGTTGTTGTATATGTTTTATACCATTTTAAAGAGGAACTAGTTTTAAGCTGTTTTGAGAACTACTTTGTGTTGTTCGGTTTGTCGGGATGCGCTGTTCCAGATATTGAATGTCGTCATTGTATTTCCTGATCTGCGATCAGAAAATACAAAAATCAATTAATTCATTTGAAGACCTTGTAACAAAACACCATTAATACTACTGTCTGAATAATGTAATTAAACACCATTAGCGCCACTGCTATAACATGCGCAATATAGCTCGCGTTAGACCATGAGTGATGCACATTCTTATTACAGTCGCATTTTCATTTCATTTCAGCCATTTGTAGTCTTCCAATGAACCGTGGACCATGTAGGGGAGACTTTGAACGGTGGCACTATAGTAGTAGTATGAGAAAGTGCATTCCATTTAGATATGGTGGTTGCCGTGGCAACGAAAACAGGTTCGACAGCGAGGATGAATGTCGACAAACGTGTGCCGATTATATGGGTAATTGTTATATTTTATAATTATAGTTCATTGTTCTTTTCCTGTCTTGTTTGATGCTTTTAAATGAAATGTGTCTGTATGTTTCAACTCACTATGACATATGATTTTTCTTGCGTAAAGTGAACGGGGGATTTCTATGGCTGACAATTGCTGTCAAAATTAATATTAAATATTAAATCAGTGTAATGCATAAGTGTTTTGTTTTGAGAGGACATTTAAAGTGTAAGAAGATATTGTGATACCCCTGGATCATTTACTTGAATTAGAAATCATAGCTTCAATTTAACATTTCTTTTTAAAAATAATTTCAGATAATATAGATGCAACATTTAACGTCATCGATCGCGGTGAGGTCACTCATGTTTCAGATATGGACCTTAAGCGTCTGATGATGAAGAAGCAAATGATGTCACCAAATTTGACGCCACAACTCGACGGAACTGACGTCAATTTTTCCATGAAGAAGAAGCGGAAGATGATGAAAAAGGCTCGACTAATGGAGAAGGAGAAGAGAAGAGAGAGAAAAAGACAGATGAGAGAAAGGAAACGCCGTATGAAGGCGGAGAAGATGCGCATGAGGAAGGCAAATATGACAAATTCTATTGGTGACGCAGTAGACTGTATGGTAACAGATTGGACACCATGGGAAGAGTGCACAGAAAAATGTGGAAAACAATACATTACACGGACACGTATGATAAAAAGGGCATCAGAAAATGGCGGGAAAAGGTGTCCGAAAAAATTGACCCGGAAGAGGAAATGTAAATTACCAAAATGTCGTAAGTGTTTTGATTTACAGAATCTTTTTTTTTTTAATAATTTCTGTTTACAAAATTACTTCTTTAAAGCGACAAAGTGTGCTTTTGTTTCTTTGAAATTAAAGGTGTATCCATATTTCTGTAATGGATACAGTTACATGAGCTGTTATTTCAAATTTCTTCTTGAAATGAATAATGTGTTTATCGTAACATTTCAGCACGTGACTGTAAAGTGTCACCTTGGAGCGAATGGAGCGCGTGCACAGCCACTTGCGGAACGGATGTTGTGAAGGAACGCAAACGTTCCATTATGAAAAAGCCACGGAATGGTGGGATGGATTGTCCAAGTTTGATGGAGAGACAATCTTGTAGCTTACCACCATGCAACGATGAAAAGGTTTGTAGTTTATAGGTGAAATAAAATAAATTGATAAAAACAACATCAACAACAACAACAACAACAACAACAACACAACAACAACAACAACAAACAATAAGATTAAGCAATTTCTCAAAGTTATATTCATGTTTTCCATGACACATTATTACAAAAAAATGTGCAAAATTAAAATTTATCAAAATTTGTTTTTAGATAAAATAATTGATTTTTAAAATATATCAACTGCACGATATGTAGGAATAATATATTTGTATATAAGATAAGATAAGATATAGTTTATTATCGTGACATGTGCATAAATGACATAGATACATAATATACAGATGAAAGAAAAGGCACCCGGCCCTTTGGGCCTATATGTCACCGGGAAATCAATGATGTCATTATTTACATAATTCAACAAAGTTACTTCTTTTATACATAGGATGATCTGAAGTACATGTACAAAATACTGGTAATATATTTTCTTACGTTATCAAATATCAACAACTAATTAGTTACTAAGGTACTTTGAGCGACATATTACAATTATTGTGCTTATTATTATACATATATAATTTAGGCGACATATTACAAATATTGTAATTATCATAATACATATATATACATTATTCAAGTACATAGCATTATATACATTTAAATTACATATACAACACTCGTTACTGAGAAGGTTGGGATTTGGAAAACAATTTACTTTTGAAAGTTTATATCACTTAGAAATTTGTGTTACTGAACTGGTGAAAGAGTGATCACACTATTTAATATTCGAATAACAATATTACGTTACTGAACTTGCGTTAAATATATCGTGTTTATGTATATAAAAAGAGGCATAGTTTCAATAATAGTACGGACACAGACATATAGTGAAACAAAGAAAACTTTGAATTCTAATATTACATAATTATATTATACACACATTCATTGCAAAATGGGTTCATTTTAATTAAATATATAAGACTATATGTATATAATGGTTTAAGTCAAAAATAGTTATCAAGGTTAATTGATTACTAAGAGAACAAGACACTTCTTCTTTTAAGGTATGCGGATATAAGAAATTTTGCAAGTTTTCTAGGGTAGTTTGAAACAATATGAGATAGTCTCTGATTCATGTCCATGAGAGGATCGTTAACGAAATCAAAAAGAGTTCTGAACGTATTTTCACGCAAGTCTTTATACTGTTCACACTGAAAAAGGAAGTGTTTCTCGTCTTCTACACGATTCGAGGTACAAAGTCTACATAATCTCTGATCAGGCTGTTCTCCAATGTAACGTCCTGTTTCAATTCTTAACGGTAGAATACCAGTTCTAAATTGACACAGTATCGATCTTTCGTTCTTGTTCAAGTTCAACAATACATAGTCTTCGCATTTAAAGCTGTCTTTAAATATTCGGTAAGTTCTTAGTTTTGGCACTGTTTGGACATCTTCTGACCAAATATTTGAATATTTGGTCACTATTAAACCGTTAGCATGTGATAAGTTGATAACTGTTCTATTGTCGTAATTTGAGTTTAATCCAAGTGTAGTCATAACATGTTTTATGTCGGAAGACCAGTTATTGTTGCATTTAGCGTAGTCAATATTGAACACTTTCTTTGTAATTCTCGAATCGTCCATCAATATTAATCTATTCCACAGTCGCAGAATATTTCCCCATCGTCTGTGAACACTAGGTATCCACCCAGTGTCACCAACCATCGCAAGAATAGGCGTGAAGCGATGGACACCAAGGAAGTACCGCATGGCTCTGTTTTGGACATTGTCTGTTGCTTGATATTTCTTAAAGCCCCATACTGATGAGCAATAGTCCAGTATAGGCACAACACAGGAGAGATACAATTTTTCGTATGACTTGAAGCCAAAGTCTTTCAGGTTGTGTATCTTGTTAATGATGCCACCGAGAGCTCGACCGGCTGCTTTACCAAGAGATTCACTGTTTAAAGTAAAGTCATTCTTCTCATGGAATATAACCCCTAGGTATTTGTATTTTTCAACTGTTTCCAGAGTACTGTTGCCGATTTTGAATTCAAAGTCACTTCGTTGTGCCCGGCCCTTGCGAAAATGCATGCATTTAGATTTATCTGCATTGATAAGTACTCTCCAGCGTTGGCACCAGTTACTAACAGTGTCTAACATGGACTGTAATTTCTCCTCACTATCCGCCATTAAGACAATATCGTCTGCGTACATTAACAAGGAAAGTTTAATGTCACCAATCGTTACTCCAAGGTCAAGGTCGTTGATTTCACGTGCAAGATCGTTAGCGAATACGGAGAACAATGTCGGGGACAAATTACAGCCTTGTTTCACGCCTGACGCCTGTATATTTATAAATATTTTCTTTATATTTTAGATGATGAAAGAATTTATGGAGAAAATGCAAAAACATCCGCCATTTTAGGCTAAGACTGGATCAAGCCTCAAATAGATAGTGACTATCAATCATGTCAAGGCCATACCACGTGATTTATAACTGAAATAGACAGTGTACATAGATCATGTTTTGTTTGTCTGAACATGTTTAATTTATCAGGGATTATCATGCCTTCCTGTATTTAGTGAATTTCGAGAGATAATCTTCCAGATCTGAAGAGGTGGATGATTATAAATTGATACTGCATTGACACGTTGATATTTAGCGTGTGATATGAAGTGATGACAACAACATGCATCCATCCGGATGCGCAAGTGTTTTAGAAAAAAAATGTCGTCTGCGTGTGTTTGTTTTAAAATCCGAAGTCGACAGATATCAGAATTTTTTAAAGTGATTTATAAGTATAGTAGTGCCTGTTATTGCTGTGTGACTGAAAAATAAACTTGTTCATGAGAATTTGTCTAAATCAGGACAAATTTGTTCATGAGAATTTGTCTAATTCAAGACAACTTTGTTTGTGGGAATTTGTCTAATTCAAGACAAATTTGTTTGTAGGAATTTGTCTAATTCAGGACAAATTTGTTTGAGGGAATTTGTCTAATAAACAGCTGTAGTTATAGATGCCGTTAAACTTCTGTTTAAAGTAAAGTGCCAGTTATTTTGTTTTCGGCAGGTCTTTATCAAACTTTCGTTATTGATATAGATTTCTGCATGTTATTTATATTAGAAAGCTATATAAAGTTATTATGGTAGGTTTTGTTATATTGTTCACATATCATTAAAATGCGTTTTTTTTTACATATCCTGCAATGTCTAACATGCTAAAATTATTTTGGCAAGCTATAAATGCTTAATATCTAACGACTTTTCAGCGTTTCACTTTAATTTCACGCATTTATTTGTACATAAGAGCATTTAAAATGTCTACTTTTAAAATTATTAATTGTTAACTCACTAAATAACAAAATATCATTTTTGTTTAATTAACGTGTTGTTTAGTTATGCAAAATTTTGGCTTTAATTGCCCTTCATAATTGTATGCGTTCATAAGATAGTATATAAATTAATAGTTACATTTCATGAAATGATCTTCTTTAAAGAATAGTTATATGGTTTGTGAAAAAAAATGTAATTTTACCGAAGAGTAAAAAAAATAAAATAATTTAGCTGATTCTATTTAATAAAGTCATGTTATGTTATCGTTACGTCGCTTTTTTCATACTTACTAGTCTTAGCTTGTAAATAATTCATATATAGTCGTTCATTTTATTTTATGTTAAAGAAACATTGTAAAAAGACCTGAAACTGTCTGTTGTCATAACATCCATTTTTCCCTTCAAATTATGGCCAATTCGTTCAAAATGAGATTTATGGTATATAGCTTCGTCCATTTGGTAAAAAAATGAGCACGTGAATCAGCTGAAAAAATTAGGCCAAGTGTTCAAATTTATAAAAAAAATAAAATCATTCTTGTTTACAAAAGTACATGTATTGTAAATATCTGTTAGTTTTACTGAGTGTAAAACTTGTTTATTTAAAAAAAATGAAATACTATTTTATTAGGCTTAAACACATTCAAGTCACGAAACAAAACTACATTTTATAGAAATAACTGTTGTTTTATTTATGTGTTGTTTATAATATTGGTGCATTTTAGTGTAGAGTTTTATTTAAGTAATCATAAAACAGTTCTATGAAATGAAAACAGTTTTTGGCTGGTCCAACTAATGAAAAATAGATAAAATTTCAACAGCATGAACAATGTGCATGTATATAAAAAGAAGTAACGAAGGAGATCCACCGAGGTCAAAAAGTGTAAAAAAAAAAAACCCCAATAAAATTTGAAATTCTAACGAAGATCAAAGGCAGAAAATATCTGCAAGGAATGATATGTAAATATAATCTGAATTAAATTGAATATCGACTTTTTGTGCGATTCCTTACTTGATTTGAGTGAAATGGTCTTAACGGTTTTCATTTTTGAGTCATTTTGCACAATAAAAACGATTGTTCTAGAAAAACGGATTGTGGGAATGATCTGGAAATATGCACACACGTAACTGGTCCAATACTGCATCAAATGGTGCACTTATCTCGGGGAAAAAGATGTCCAGTCTGGTAATGTAGAAAACCTCAGTGGAGTCCTTTAACGATCTGTCGAATAAAATCCGTATTGGATTCCTTTCATTATTTTGACCATGAAATTTTGTGAGTCGATACAATATCATAAAAACATATAATATATAATAATATATCATAGAAACATGTAAAAACATCTTTCTTCAATATTTTTGAGAACATATCAAAATTTAAAATTAAATAAATTTCAAAATGTATAGACACTTACGATATGATTTTTAAGAAGAAGAAAACAAAGTCCTAATTATTTTTTTTTAAAAGAGAGAAAAAAGGAAGTTCTTATACCACGCTTATGCTTTGTGTTTATTATAGTTATAATTATATTTCCGCGCATTTCAAGCTTCTTTTGAAGCGGTAACCATATTTTTTTGCAGTGCTAAAAAGAGTAAAATAAAAATGTAAATACTGTTTATTGTGTACATAGAGTTATGATATTATTATTATAGTTATATACTATTGTGATACAATGTCATTTTTAAACTTAATAAAAAAATAACTGTAAAACATTAAACGATTGTTTGTATTTCTTTTGAATTCTGAAATTCTGAGAACCTGCGAGATTTAGATTAGATTGTTTTGTCCAGATAACATAATAATATGTATTAATGTGCGTTACAATAAAATGGAAGAATATAATAATTTGCATCAAATTATTAATTTATGCAAACATTTACTTTTCGATCCTGTAGACACACACACTTTTGAATCCGGTCCTGGAACAAGTCAGTAATAAGCAATGCCTGGAAAGTTTCTTGCTTAAGAAAGCAACGACTTGCCTCACCATCTCCCGGGATTTGAACCAACACGGCCAGAAATGGTTAGATAACCTGTCCGACGGGTTGACTTTGAGCCAAGCGGCCACTTTGAACACTTATTAACCACTCACAAACGACCATCTCCAACAAAGTATTGATTGTCTCACCGCAAACATTCCCCGCATAACCAATGCAACTGACCACTCAACACAACATATTCACAATTTGAAACATTGCGCAATGAACTTTAATGCACTCAATTGAGAACTACTTACATTGTCATCATCAATAAGAACTTTTTGAGAGATCATTTTTCAATTGCAACGCTAACATTGCTTACTGAGGAAAACTAGATGAACTAGATAATAATCAATGGCTACTTGTCAGCCGAATTTGAAAGACGTTGTTGAACATACCAGATCATAAATCAAGACCATTTTTCCATTTTTATTATCTTCTTTCGTATTTCCTCTCCCCCTCCCTACCAGGAAAAAAAATGAAAACACCGATACATGTGTGCACTATGGCATAGCACCGTGAATTTAGTGAAATTTACTTTCCAATTTACTTTGAACTTCAAACTGCAGACTGACCAAACACAAACACCAAAAGTTCGACAAGACTTTTTGACTGTTGCAAGATTGTTGATACCAAATGAACAAAAGTATCAATACTGTTATCACATTGGTTTTTAATATAAACAAGGAATTAGCAGTATCTAGCTTAGAAGAAAGATGCCTTATCACTGGGCCACGCTGTAATATATAAACACGTGTATAGTAAACAAAGACAAATAAATATGCTTTTAGGCAATATGCCTTCTTTATTACATGACTTTAACAACTGCAAACAATCATATAAATTTATCACAATTATATTACAATAATATAATACAGAGTAACTTTGAAATAAACATAAACATAGTAATAATTCATATATAAACTTAAATATTTAAATAAATCACCATATTTTGTCAAACAAATATCCCCTATGGACGGATTGGACTAGGTTTTTGTTTGAGGAAATTAGTAACTAGTAAAAAGAATATTTGTGAGACAAAATATGGTAATCGGTAACAAAAAATATATATTAAATAAAAATGCAATTTATGAGCAATACTTAGGAAAAACAAATTAATATTTGATATGCTGATTCAATAATTTTTTTTATAATCTTAACTTATTGAAGTACCAATAAATTCTATAAAGAATTAAAAGGAAAAGAATAAAACAAAACTCTGTTTAAGATTTGATTCAAAGGATTATATTGTGTCTAAAAGTTAACAGGTTTGTCAAAAGGCAATTTATTCATCGTTTTGCACATGCATATTTCCTAGTCATGTAAACTATTCCTATCATTTCACATATTGCTAAAACATGATTTTCAAAATCCCAGACACAATATTTCGATAAAGTCCAAATTTGTTTTATATACAATGATTTTAATATCTAAATGCTATAATTGCATTTAATGCAAATTATTGAAATGTAAGGCACAGTATTATAAGATTATAGTTCTTGCAATTCCAAGGGAGACAAGCGAGATACATAGTCATTCTAAGGGAGATAATCTTTGTTTCAAAAATCAAACAGTTTTACTACAGACAAATAAATGTTCTGCAGCAACAGAATCTACCCAAGCAACCAGTGCAGACCAAGATTAGCCAGCACATCTGTGACATCTGATCATGGTCTGCACTGTTTGCTTTAGTCAATATGTACTTTAAAAATTCCTAAAAATAATGAATGGTTGTGCCCAAATCAAAAGTAAGGATATTTTAACATAGTAAGTTTTGATATAGGACTTTTAATAGGAGGAAGAAATAGAAGAAAAGCATATATTAATTTTAATACTGATTCATAACAAGGTGCTTCCACTAAACATACTCAACTCTACAAATGCACTGTTTTACTTCAGATAAACAAAAAGAGGTAAAAATTGTGTTGTATTTCCCCCAATTCACTAAAGAAAACGTCAGACATGATGTCATAAATGATGTCACTGAGTCAGTAATATCTCATCAGTATGTGCCTTATAACTTTTTTTCCATTCTTTTTGACATATTTGATGTTAACCAATCATACACAATTACTTTCAAAAATTAATTCAATTGACAACTTTTTTTTAATTCTACACTTCAAAACAGTTTTATACTTTTGTATATAGAAACACATACTACATACAAGAAAACAGATGACATAATTGGTCAAAAACTGAAATGTTAACTTCTTACTGACCAATCAAATTTACTCAGTACATGAAAAAGGCACAAAGACAAACCACTGACTTATATGGGTAACTGAATGAAAAAAATAATAGCGCTTAAGATTCTGAATTAACAATTATGTAAGACTTAAAACTTAAATTGCTAGAATCTCATAATTTTATAGACCAAAATCAATAATCAGGAAAATGTTCCGTAAATGGAAGAGATAATCAATAATTTCAGATATCAATATTTCTATATATCAATATTACAAGATATCAATATAATTATTTCAAGATATCGATATATTTCAAGATATCAATATTTCAACATATCAATATTTCAAAATATGAATATTTAGATATCATTATTCTTGAAGATATCAATATTTCTAGATATCTTAATTTCAATATATAAAGATATCAATACATGTATATAAAGGTATCAATATTTTAAGATATCAAGTTTTCCAATTGGTAAAACCTAGGTGGACGGTGTGAAGACTCAGCTGACGGCCTGCTGCTGTCTACCTGTTGTACTACTAACACTAGACACGGGTGTGTTCCTCGACTGCTGGGTGGACTGGTAGCGGGAGGGACCGGTTGACAGGGTGAACTCATACGGGTCACCTGTACTTGTTAACAATCTCATCTTGTCCTCTGTGAATGAAATAACAAAATATTGATCAAAAATAAATATGATTTTTTTTATTAATGATAAGATGAGTTCTTTTTTTTTTACAGAAAAAAATGCTAAAAAATGTGCTATAAGTGCTGTTGTAAAACTAAAGTAAAATTTATATCACTAAGTGCATGCATGTTACAATCTACTACAGCATTGATAATTAAGTATAATTGCATGCAAAAATGGGATCTGAATGATTATCTACCCAAAATACATGAAAACAAACAAAATTATACTTATTTTAATGAAAGCGTGTAAATGAGTATAAAAATTAGGTAATTATATATTTCAATGGTACTACAACACAACTTGCACTGCTACCATTAAATTTAAAAGCACTAAATATACCATCTTTAACACAATACAAGTGTAAAAAGTACTAAAATATATAATAATTTCTTTAAAACATAATCATGCTTATACATGTATATTACATGAAAAAAAGGAAATTATCTTTTGGTAAATGAAAATGGCTGAAAACAATGTAACCAACTATATGTTTATTTCCTATTATTTGTAATGAAAAACAAACATGTTTGATTTTTATCTTCAGTAAACATTATTTTTAAAGTAAAAAATATTATAAATCAATTGTAATTGATATTTGATTTGCCTTGTCAAAAAAACTTATTATCTTCCAAAACCATAAACCAATAAAACAATGAATATGTCAAACACTCAAAAAAAAAAACAAAAAAAAAACAAAAAAAAAAACAGTAAGAAGAAAAAAAAAAAAAAACACCATCAAAATGGAATACAACCTGGATATTTTTGACACTCAAAAACCTTTAACCATCACAATACAAATGTACTGGACTCAGATGTACTTGACTCAATTTTCCCTTCTAACCAAAAAAATAAAATAAACAAGAGCCATGTCAACATGGCCATCCCCCGCCAAATGTGTTTGCTCATTGGAAGAATGTATATGTAGTAGAGCGGAATAATTCCATTTTAAGAGGTCTTTTGGTAATGAAAACTGATGGCTATAGTGATTACAGATTTGAAACCTATGTGAATACTGATGGCTGAAAATAACAAAGGGTAATTACTGAAAAATAATGCAGGGTAGGTTATCATTCTTGTGTGCTGCATCCCTCCTCAGTAAAATCTATCCACCTATGAAGTTTCAAGTTGATACCTCAAATACTTTTTGAGAAAAAAATTGAATTGAAAAATTAAGTATGAAAAAGAACAAAGGGCAATAACTCAAAAATTATAAAAGGTAGAGTTATCATTCTTGTGCAGTGCACACCTCCTGAGTGAGATCTATGCACCTATGAAGTTTCATTTTGATATCTCAAAGGCTTTTTGAGTTATGCTCTGGACAAAAATTAATTTTGAAAAATAACAAAGGGCAATAACTCAAAAATAATGCAGGGTAGAGTTATCATTCTTAAGCACTGCACTCCTCCTCAATGAGATCCATCCACCTTTGAAGTTACAAGTTGATACCTCAAATACTTTTTGAGATAAGCTCTGGACAAAATAGCATGAAAAAAAAAAAAGGGCAATAACTCAAAAATTGTATAGGGAAGAGTTATCATTCTTGCGCACAACATTCCTCCTCAATAAGATCTATCCACCTATGACATTTCATGTTGATATCTCAAACACTTTTGAGTGATGCTCCACTCAGGTGAAAAATTAGGTATGAAAAATAACAAAGGGCAATAACTCAAAAATTATGAAAGGTAGAGTTATCATTCTTGTGCAGTGCACACCTCCTGAGTGAGATCTATGCACCTATGAAGTTTCATATTAATATCTCATAGGCTTTTTGAGTTATGCTCTGGACAAAAATCAATTTTGAAAAATTACAAAGGACAATAACTCAAAAATCATGCAAGTAGAGTTATCATTCTTGTGCACTGCACTCCTCCTCAATGAGGTCTATCCACCTATGAAGTTTCAAGTTGATAACTCAAATGCTTTAAGAGATATGCTCCGGACAAAAATGTCGGACGGAAGGACGGACGGACGGATGGACGGACGGAAGGTCGGACGGACGGAGACTATTTCTATATCCTCCGCCGAAATTTTTCGGCGGGGGATAAAAAAAAATTCACATTAAACATTAAATTCACAATCCAATGTTCTCCTCAAACCAGAAAAAAAATAACAAAAACAAAACCTGACAGCAAAGTGACAATCTAGCCTAAGATATAACCCCAACAATTCCAGACACCTACACCCTGCAAGTTTTCACACATACATGTATATACCGGTATATGATATAACAAACCTGTGCCTGATGTATAGTTCCTTCTAGTGTAAAAACCTATAAAATGATGACAAACTTTAAATGTGAATGATGACTTATAAGCAATTATATTAAAAGATCAGAAAATTTCTGGGATTCGTACTATCAGTGCCTGAAAGGACAGATAGACCCTCGTTAAGCCTAGAATACATACATCAGAAAACTTCAACATAATTATTTTGTTTCTTTTTCGTTAAGCCTAGAATACATACATCAGAAAACTTCAACATAATTATTTTGTTTCTTTTTTTTTTATGGGCAACTTTGGGTGTTGACAAGGGAAATGGGGGTAGAAGATTATGCATGGTGTGTGATGGTTTAATTACAAACAGAATAAATCACTTTAAAGCATTCGTTAAATATAAGACTACATATTGTTTTATTTTTCTACATTTGTACGGTAATCTAGGGATTACTGGTCATGTGGTAGCCTTTGAGCAAGAACCATTACACCCATTGCTTGGTCCTGGTTGGTGCCACTGGTTTTGAAATGTGTCAATAAGCTTATAGCTTCCTACACAATCAAAATAATTCTGTTTAAACTTAATATTGCAATATTAGCACTGACTCCCACTCAGTAGTCAGTAATGAGTTTTTTTTTAAAAAGGAAGTGTATTATAAATACAAAAGATTTTGTTATCAAAGTTAATATGCATGTTCATAACAAGGTTTTATATATCACAGAGGATTTTTTCAAGTGGAAAATCTGAAAGTAAATTTTCATAATTATTTATTAAAGACCTCGCTCAAACAAAAGTTTTTATTTCAGCAGTAGGAAAAGGCAGTTAATGAAAATGAAGGAAGAAACAGTGAATGTAAAGCTGTATTGAAATTAAAATGTATTTCAAGTTCCAAAATTGTGATTAAAACTAAAACTTTACACATTTATAAAGCTAAGGTGAAAAATTCCAAATAAAAAACACGAAAGCTGTATTGAAAGAAAATGTACTTCATCTTTTAAAAATTGTGATTAAAAATAAAACTTTGCACATTTATAAAGCTATGGTGAAAAATTCCAAATAAATAAAAAACACCCAGTATAATAAAAGCATAAATACATATGTAGCTATAATCACTCTCCACAACACATAGGCTGAAGCAATTTGCTTGTAGGATAAATCAAACACAGACATACTCCAAGGTACAGGAAAAAGCATTGGCTAAATATAACAAGTCAGTATTTGTCAGAGCTAAAAACAGAAACTTGTATTTAATATGTCACTTCACTTTTGACATTTTTGACCATTGTTGTTATTTTATTATTTTAAGTCTCTTAAGATTATATGGTGAATTTTAAAGGCCCATTATCCTCAGAAATGCTTTAATATGCATATATCAAAAGGTTTTTATTTCCAATATCCAGTTATACTAACTGTTTACAAACAGTCACTCAGTTGTTTACTATTAGAACCATCTTTTGCATTGTTTGCTTTTTTGGCTATAGGTACAATAATAGTAATTTAGTATTTTGTATGGAAGCTAAAATACTACTTTGTTCACGTTTTGCTACTTTTATGACAAATTCAGCACTGCTATCTTCAGGTGATAAGCAACTAACAATACTCTAACACCATTATTTAAATAATATAAAACTCAAGTTTGCCCTTTCTAAAGAAGGAAATATTTATTTGTTTCCTAGGCATAATTGTGGTTTTAAGCTTTAATCTGATAAAACTAAGATGTCCCCCATACCTGTTCATGGCATCTGATTAACAATATCTTTGAGAACTGGTTTCTCTGAACCTACTTTTCAATTCTGCATAAGATATACTAATTAAATTGTGCTCAGTTAAGCTGTAAAGAAAAAATTTTCTTAGTCATCTTTAAAAGCTTATTTTGCTCTGATTGCACACATGTTTAAAAAAAGGCAAACAAATCTCAACTGAAAGTTTTCCAATTCTCTCCAACAATCTCCTGCAATATGTTCAAGGAATGAGTAAGTCTACTACTGGTATTTACTGGTATAATAATAATGATGTTTTAGGAAAGAATATGTATGGTTTGTTGATGCTTCATATAGTTTAAATCTAGAGTCCATTTGTGAATCCTGAAATTTTGTTTTTACTTGGGCTTCTGTTTAACACATATCATGATTTTTTTTTTTTAGGTCTGTTTATCTAGTTCTAAACGTAATATCTACATGAAAATTATGATCTCTCTAAAGCATTAATCACAACAAAATTACACGAAAATCACAGACTCTGTTTGATTGAGTCTGTAAATGAGGGAAAATCACTCACAGTGCATAAGGGATAATGAAAAAGTGCAACATCCCTCACGCCCCCTAGCATCAGCTTCAGGGGTACTTAGAGTGATACTCAATTTTCAACACTTAAAAATACTGAAATTAATGATCCAGAAAGATTAGAAATATAACAACATTGAAGTGAAGTAAATCTGCTTAAAGTATTTATGTTAAGACATAAAAATGGATTACTTACAAAACTGACATGAATTGTGTTGCTCTTTGATTATTTCAAACACAGAAAACAATAAAATATGCCTAATAATTAAAACTTATTGATGGATCCATGTACTATGATTTTTTGTTTGTCCTAAAAGCAGTTTCAGGTTAAAATGCAAGTTTGGGGAAAAAGGAGTATTTGGGTTCTAAGACAAAATTGATACATACACGTCTTTTTTATACAAGGATGCCTTCAATACAATTCTAAAAACAGGCCATAATGATCATTAACAAAAACAATACAGACATAATGAGCCACGCCATTACAAAACCAACATAATGCGTTTGCTGGTCCAGCATGAATCCAGACCAGCCTGCGCATCCGTGCAGTCTGATCAGGATCCATGCTGTTCACTTACCAACCTATTACAAGTAGAGAAACTGATAGCGAACAGCATGGATCCTGATCAGACTGCACAAATGTGCAGGCTGATCTGAATCCATGCTGGTCGCAAACACACTATAAGAGTTTTGTCGGGATGAGGCTCAATATACAAAGGCAGTAATAAATGACCGGCAAAGCAGAATACATGTACATGACTGATACAACGATATATAAAACAGCCGAATATATAAAATAGCTGCGGTTCACTTCAAATCTTTTACACAAACCTGCTGTGGATTCAGAGGCTGTGTGAATTCTATCCCAGACTGTACTAGGAACTTTTGCTACAATGTGGCCAATCAGTATTTTAACAAAAAAATAATCTTAATTTTAATGTATTTTCAATAATCTTAACCAAAACCCTTGCAAAAAAATCCTATTTTCTATTTTTTTTACAGTACTCATCCGTTTTATTGAAACCAAAAACAAAACAAAAACTGTCAACATATAATTGAAAAAAAAAGTTTTGATCTTAAATTAATTAAATATATGGTAAAATATATTAGATAAAGAAGCAAAATATCACTACTTGTCCCTGAAAAAATCAGTAAGAAAATTTGAATATTTACATCAATATGAATCTAAATTAATACAAAGCAGGTAATATTAAATAATACTAATATATAAAAATTATAGAAGAAATCTTTATACAAACCTATTTGTTTTTCAGAGTTTGCACTGGTAGCAAGTTCTTTCCATCCACTCTGGTAACTGAAAATATATCCATGTACATAAGTATATCAATCTGTTCTAAATGAAACAAAGTAAATGTTCACTAAGTTTCATATAAATTTGACATAATTGAAAGTAGATAATCTGTATTACTTGATCTGACAAATTTTGACGGAAATATAGATTTTGCAAAAATTTGGCTTTACAAAAATATCTGATTATACTGTAAACTGTTGAGAACTCAGTGGCTTAGCTTAACATATTGCAATAATATGAAATTATAGTCTATGCTGAGGTCTTGATATAGTTTTTTCAGACCAGAGAAAAATAATATTTAACTTTTATTAGGTCAAAAGAACTATAAATTGATCAAAACATAAGTCTATAACGGCTATATTGTATACCACTGTCTATACTATGAGTAAATGTTTGAAAAAATATGATGCTATGATAAAATCAGCAGGTCTACGTGTCATTTAGGGGTCTTGTGGCATTTACACAAATCAGCCAATCAGAAAGGTTCTTTCATATACAATATAATGAAATACATAATGAGTCTATAACATCGCAATCAAGATATGTAATGTGATATGAGAATTCAAGACAGAATTTATCAAAAACTTAAGGAAAGCTTACTCTTCAAAGTTAAGACTTGTGGTCCAGTCAAGGAGTTCATCTACTTCCCAATCCTCAAGGGCATCTGTTCCATAATTCTCTACTGTAGCTACCATACCTGTTATATAGTATAACATTAAAATATCTCAAATATCTTTTTTTGTTTTAGGTTTAACTAAAAGCAAAATTGAAACATTCCTGAAGTAATGGTGACATTTCAGCTTTTCTGTTGGAAGAGGACCTAAGGTGCCCTTCATGCATAATTTTATGCACAAGCAGGCATTTAAGTGGAACCACTGACCTTCCATAATAGGTTGACAACACCAGGGGTCAAAACCACATCACTTGCTGGTGCTAAGAGATGCATAGACTACATATATTCAAATGCATTTAGTTTCCTCTAACTATCACACAGGGATAAACACTGGCTGCAATTCTGATGCCTCAATTCTTAAGGCAACCCTCTCAGCACAAGGGCATTCTGACACTGTATTCTTGCATAAGATCTCTCTCTT